TTTAAAAGGCTGGGAGGAATTTACATTTTTCAAGATAGTTTTTCCCTGTGGTTAGGGCTTTAGTTAGACTTTTTTTCTGGCTCCCAGTGCAGTCCTGTTTTGGTCATTCTCACCATGGTTGCCCACTGCTATAACACCGCTGGCAAGCTCATGGCACTGGGCGCTGGCGTCCACCTTAGTCTGTCCTTGATGTTGGGCCTGGATGGCCTTGTGGAAGTGCTCATGGTGCTAGTCCTGGAGACCTGTGGAGCTCAGAGCAGTTGCTTCCCCCAGCTCATCCCCACTCCATTACTTCCAGATCCATAATTCCTTATTACATTCCCTAGGGAAATATCAGTGATCTCAGTGACAATGAGCTGGGTCAAGTGTTCCTCTGTGACCAGAGGGCTCTCTGTCCCTGAGGTGCTGAGGTCAGTGTCCCCCCTCTCACATCCTCTGGGTCTTGGGGCAGGCAGTGGTCACAGAGGTCTTGCTGGCATTTGAGGAGCATGCTGCTCTATGGGGGGTTTCCCCAGCTCCCACCCCTTGAGCAGTGCTGGTGGCTGTGTCATCTCATGTCACCTCATCTCCCACAGGGCCTGGCTGGGGCACGCCGCTCGGTGATCGGGGACAGCCCACAGCTGCTGACGCACTACTACGATGATGCCAGGACCATGTACGAGGTCTTCAGGAGGGGATTCAGCATCTCTGGTGAGAGCACAGTGGTGAGGAGGTCTAGGACCAGAAGCTGGGAGAGGTGGGGACCAGGCCATGCAGGTGTTCTTACCACATGGTCAACGGCATCGTCACAGAGCCCTCACACTTGAGAGACATCACTTCCCACTCCAAAAAGCCATGATGGCCCTTCTCTGCTCTACCATAACTATTTCCATGTCTGCTGTTCACGGTGTCCTGCCTCATTGGATGCAACAATGTCATGGTCAGATTATTATTTTTGGTACCATAAAAAACCCCAGTAGATCTGCACATATTCTGCCCCACAAGACAGGGGTAAATGAAGGACTCGGTAGTTGTATGGAGGAATGGATTCCTGAAAGTAGGTACCATTAAAAATTATTCAAAATTTTCAAATTTTCATCTGGTCATGCACTGCTGTGTGTTGTTTTACCTTCCTCCAGAGCAGGCTGGGATAAACATAGTAGTTTTCACGTTTTTAAATCAAGAGGCAGCGCAAGTAGTGGGAGCTGGTGTTTGGGATGGGTGCCCTTATCAGACACTAATGCTTATGTGACCTTTGGAGAAGTGTCTTTTAATGAGGCTGTTTGGGGCAAACTGCTCCTGTCAGTGGGGAGGACTGAAGCCTTTTTGGGGAATCCCAGCAGCTCTTCTCCCATCAGATGCACTTGTGTGGATAATTTGCTGGAGATCGCTGTGAAAACCAACCCATTTACTATGGATTTACTCCTGGAGAGCTCCCCCACATTGTAGCCCCATGTGTGAACTTCTGGCACTGCCTCCCCATAACTCATCATCTCTTTTTGTGTCTTTCAGAGAATGGCCCCTGCCTGGGGTTCAGGAAGCCCAAGCAGCCCTACCAGTGGCTGTCCTACAAGGAGGTGAGCTGGGTGTGACACCCTCTGTGCATCCTCTTCCCCTGCCCAACACAAGAAGGGGTGTTGGGGTGCCTGCACATTAGACCAGGGGGTTGCTCATGCACTGTGTGATGCTTCCTCGTGTCCCCACCCTGGCACATCCAGGTGTTGCATGGGTGTGTCAGCTTTCAGGAGCTGGCTCCATGCCATGAGCCCACTCCTGAAAGCAGCACTGAGGCACTCTAGAGCCATGGGGCATCACCGACCTCATCAACTGCTAGTCAGCTAATGATGGTTCACGGTAACATAAAAATTGGACTTTTAGATAGGAAATACAATCATTTGAGAGCCTCCCTGTAAGTCTTTGCTTAATTTGGTGTTGTTTATATTCCTCTTTTTTAATGTATATTTTCCTCTCCAAATTCCAGGTGGCTGAAAGAGCAGAAGCTCTGGGTTCAGGCCTTTTGCAGCAGGGCTGCAAGCCATCCACAAAGCAGTTCATTGGTGTCTTCGCTCAAAACCGCCCAGAGGTGAGATTTTATGTCCAACTTGGTATTGTATTAATAATGTTCCTGACCTGTCAGCTTGTTCTCAAGTTATATCTGCTCTCATGGCCCCTTCTTACCTTTGTGCTTCCATGTTCTCCTTCAGTGGATCATCTCTGAGCTGGCTTGCTACACCTATTCCATGGTGGTGGTTCCCCTGTATGACACCTTAGGTCCTGGAGCCATTCGGTACATTGTCAACACAGGTAAAATCAAAACTGATGTGATCTCAGTTTTGTTGCTCAGAATGGCTCATTTTCTGCTTCTAACAGACAGATGATCATAGAATCCTAGAATGGTTTGGGTTGGAAGGGACCTTAGATCTCATGTGGTTCCAACTCCTCTTCGTTGGCAGGGGCACATTACATCAGGTTGCTCCAAGCCTCATCCAGCCTAGCCATGAACACTTCCAGGGATGAGGCATTGTGATTATACTTGTTGAGTGTCTTGAATTCACTTAGAGAGGTTCCTGAGAAGCCGTGTGTCCCTGTGCTGCCTCTGTTGCATTTTCCACATGCCCAGTTGTGCATAGCCATGGATAAGGGCTGCTCTGGATGTGGGAAGTACTCTATGGCTGCTCACTCCTGTGTTGCTTGATATTTTGCCTCCTAGATTTTTTAATGCATGTAGGGACCAATTTTGATATTTTGAACTGACTCTCAGAATAATCTTAAATGAGAACTACAGCTTTGAAATTGACTTAGGTTAGCTAAGATTGAGTTTTTTTCCTCATTTTTCAAGAGAAACGTGTTGTATGCTGGGATTTCTGGTGTAGCCTGGAGTGACTGTCAGAACTGATATAGGGTTAGCTAAGAGCCAGACTTGCATTAAAGAAGATTTACTGCAAACAGCTTGTTTGGCTGTTTTTTTTTGCAGCTGACATTTCCACGGTCATTTGTGACAAGCCTGAAAAAGCCAGGATACTCCTTGACCATGTGGAGAGGAGAGAAACACCAGGCCTGAGGTCAATCATCCTGATGGACTCATTTGAGAAGGAGCTGGCAGAGAGAGGGAAGCGCTGTGGGGTTCGCATCCAGACCATGCAGGAGGTGGAGGTCAGTTTGCTCTCTCTCCCCTTTTACTATTTTTTGTATTATTTGTAAAAAGACAGTACAATGTACAGGGACTTATGAATTCTGTGCCAGGCTCAGTGGAGAGCACAAAATAGCAGCTTGTGGCTGGTAATACTGATGTTTGGTGCACTTGCCTCTTGGTGTTATTCTTTGTTGATAGCAAACATTTCAATTCTTTATCCTCAAATACTCTATCAGCTGCTATTTAAGCATGGGAAGGGGGTTGTTATTTGAGACACTGTCCTACAATGTTACTGATAAGTAAATTTTACAAAAGGAAGGCCTTGTAAAATCATGGCTGTTTGGCTAAACAGAATAGAAAGAGACTCAGCTGAATTAGGAGTATGAAAACGAGTTATATAACCATTGTGTGTTCACATCGTGGTGTATGGTGGTTGGTTGAATTATGTTTGTTATGCTTTAAGACTATGTAACTGATAATGGACTAATTGCTTTAAAAGACCTGGTTTTTGCAATAAAGCAGCTCTCCTTTGCACCTGCCTGGGGACTCTGAGTCACTATGAACCCTCACCCACATTACAGCCTCACACTTGTTTGAAACACCCTGGATGCAGCTCAACCAACCTAAACACTACTTGAAATCCAAGGAAGGCACTGCAGTTAAGGCAATAAACTCTGGATAATGAAGATGACCTCAGTGTCAGCTAGGAATTTTGTCTGCTTTAGCTCACACTCTCCCTTAGTAGTTTGCAGATTATTATCAAATGTGTTACACTGCAGGAATTAAGGAGGAAATCACTTCTGTTACTTTCATTTCTTCCAGGACTGTGGCCGTGAGAATCGACATGTGCCTGTGGTGAGTGTTGCTTTGTTGCTTTTCCCACTTACAGCAGCAGCAGAAGGCACCTTAAAGCTCATCTCATTCCACCCCCCTGCCATGGGCAGGGACACCTTCCATGGCTGCTTGGCTGCTCCAAGTCCTGTCCAATCTGCCCTTGGACATTTCAGGAATGGGACAGCCACAGCTTCCCTGGGCAACCTGTGCCAGGGATTCACCACCCCCATAGGGAACAATGTGCAGTATTTGCTTTATTCTTTATTCCCTCTACCTGGAACACTTAATTGAGATAGCTCATCCTGCTATGAATGTGTTTATGGGACAGTAATTAAATGCCATTGTTAAGCGACCCTAATTCCACTACCTTACTCTGGTGGCACTGGGGAATGTCTCTGTACCCTTCACTTTCTGCTGGGCTTCCTATAGTTCAGAAACACTACTTGGCAGTATTTATAGGGGGTATTTTGGGAAAATTGCTTTGATATCTTTCACTGGCTGCTCATATTCATACAAAACTCTTAAAAGCAGCTCCTGATATTCAAGCTGTTTATTTAATCATTCATGATCCAAAATAGTGCACGTATGGGGTGGTGCAGAGAAACAGATATGCTGCAGGAAATGGTAACAATCAGCAGCTTTGGAATCTTGTCCCCTGTTGGGGAGTTCTTTCCAGAACTGACCTGGAAATTGATGAATTATCACAAGTTGTCCTACATGTCTACAGATACAGGTGGTGGCTTGGAAAATACTAACTGTGAGACACACTAAAGCACGGCCTTAGTGCAGCTGGAGCACAGCATAAAGAGAGGAATAGAGTCTGCATCAGCTGAAGAAACCTGGTTATATATGCTGAGGAGAATTATGGCTTTTTATGTCAGAGCAAAAACATAATTGGTTTGATCTTTAGGTTTCTAAAATGTCAACAGTCTCTGCCACTGCCATGTCTGCACTTGACTGATGTGATTTTCTTAATCTCCTTTTGTATTTCTAGCCTCCTCGACCAGAAGATCTGTCAATTGTCTGTTTTACTAGTGGCACTACAGGTAAAAGAGGCATTTTAATCTAGAAATGTTAGAATATCTTATGAAATTAATTATTAATCTGACCTGAATACACACAAACTTGCTGCTATACTGATATGGCAATGATATTTCTAAGCATTTTTAATATTTAAGAATATATAGGTTTATATACTTCTGTAGATTGCAAATTAAAAATAACAATATATTTATTTTTAAATTGAATTCTCTGATATACACTTTGCCAGTATGATTTTTCAGTTGTCTGAAAATCCACCCATATGTCTGCTTCCCATTTTGTTGTGTAGTTGTGAAACACTTAGTTGATTGGTATTTATCTTTTGCAAAGGTGTTTTTAAAAAAACCCCAAAACTTAAAATGTGGTTCCACAGCTTTCCATTCTCTGTATCCTAAGCACATTGATGTCTCCAGCCTCACCAAGGTCCTTGTCACCTCCATTTCCTCCTCTTGTGTGTTGCTCATGACACCAAGTGCTGTGGAGGTTTGGGATGAGCCTGGGCAGCCCATGGTGCTGGTACTCGTGTGCTGCTGGCCTGTTTTTCTTGGAAAGAAAAACAGCATCATTTTCCTGCCTGTTCTTAGGAGAGGCAGTTCTTTCTCCTCTCTCCAGACCCTGGTCTTCATCAGCTTGCAGGAATTTCCTACTCTTGAGAACTCAGCCTCTGTAACATCTCCCTGGAAGCTGTATGGGCAGATGCACAAGGCATCACTGCTTGGGACACTGCTTTTACATGTTCCTGCAGAGAAGGTCCATGCTCCAGGCACTGCTGGAGCAGCTCTTCCAGATCCACTTGTGCTGTTGGGATTGCCTAATGCTTGGTCCTATGCCAAAACATCCTCAGTTTGGTCTCAGCAGAGGATGCTGAGAGCTGCTGGTGCTCCTCAGATGGCGGGTCAGGCTGAGCACGAGGGAACACCTTCATCCTCCACCTCCCAGAAAAGACTGGTGCTTCAGACCAGGTAGGCAACTGCTTTATCAACTCCAAGTACGAGCTCAAGATGTATTAAAAGGGTTTGTGTATTTTACCTTCATGTATGGTCCTTAGTTTTGAGATCTGCACTTCAGAGTGCCCAGGGCAGAGCACTGAGGGAAAGGAGCCTGTGACTGCTCTGTTCCAGCACTGGGAATTCCTAAATGGGAAAGACAGAACTCAGTGCTGGGCATGAACATCACAGCCATGTACAGAGTGAGTGCAAAGTGGCTGGGCACAAATGGGAGCAGTAGGAAATGGAAAGAGCCATGCCATAGATACAGCAGGGCACAGTGTGTTTCTGTGCATGTTCAAGTGCTGAGTAATTATTTTTCAAGTCACATTATTGTTGATATTTTTATTTCTAAATAAGAAATTCTGCATAGAGAAGGTTTCTTTTGATTTTTTTTTTTTAATTTGCAGATGTAATCATGGGCCAGTTTCCGATTTTGTGCTTTTCTTAGAAACATGCTCAGTTACAGAAATAGGACAACCAGCAAGTTCATTTCCCTTCTCCCATTCAAATCAGAGATTTCCAATTTTGTAATTCATCTCAAACTGAACCCTCTCATAACAACACTTTGTGATGCATGAGCCCATCCTCTGCTGCTGCAGGACTTTGCACATCATTCTCTGCCTTTTCCAGAGGTTGCATCAACACTCTGGTCTGTTTTCTACATTGTGCTTTGATGTAAGAATTTTATATAGCCCATGTAATTTTTAGTGACTAAATTTAGAATTTTCTTCCAAAGGATACATTCTCTGTGGTTTTTCTAATTCCAAAGGGCTTTAAGTATTTTTTAATGGTGTGAAAAAAATCTCTGCTGGAGAATTTGTTACCTGAAAATTGTAAAATTGGAAAGAATTCCCCAGGAGCAGACTTTAACACTTGTTTTTCTTTGATAGGACCAGATGCCCCAATGCCTTCTCAGGGATAAAAGAGAGGCTGAGGTTACTGATCTTGGATGACAAGACCAACTTCCATGGCTGTGCCAAGAAGTCATCAGCACTTGGAAATGGGCCAAAGGCACATAGATAACAAGAAACAATTTTTCATGTTAGCTACTCCAGAGAAATCAACTGTTATTTCCTCAAGGATCCACTAATCCAGGTGGATAAAAATTGCTTCCCAGTGGTTTCTCCAGCCTGGCAGTGCATGTTCCTTTTTGCCAGAGCTCCCCAGGGGAGGAAAGTGCTTGCATCCCAGAATGCTGATGGATCACACCATCAAATTAGTGCTGGAGCACTTAAAAAACCCTTTTGGCAATGTGGAAAATATTCTCTATTCTTTTAAAGGTTCTACTATTGCTTATAAGAGCTATCAAACAAGCCTGGCACAAGATAAGGAGGACTTGACATTCCTGGATTATTAATGGATTGCAAGGTATTAATTCTGTAACAGGACACTCACTGGGCTGTCTTTGTAAGGAAATTCAAACAAGAACAGTGTTACAGAAAAAATGGCATTGATTTTTTAAATAGAAAAGCCACATCCCTGCCAACTCTCTTCTCTCCAAGTTGTAATTCTGGGAAAGGGTTCATAGAAAGGGGCACTTATTTTTGCTAGGTTAATTCTTAGAACTACTAAGGAAGGTTAAAGCTTACAGGAGTCCCCCAACCCAAAAAGCTGCAGCTGTCCCATAACAGCATGGTTTGTTCTGGATTTCTCCTGATGAAGGCTCTCCTGGCTCCAGCACTGCTGCTCTGCTTAGACACCATTATCACTGCAGCCTGTCCAGGATGTTGAGCCTGTGAGAAGAGGGATGCAGAGGAAGGAGTCAGGATGTTAACACTGCTTCCAGGCATGGCAGAGATACTGGATCTGCACTCAAGTCAGAGGTGGAGTGAGTAAATGAATCAGACATCTGAGAAATCTCATAGAATTGTGGAATAATTTGGCTTGGATGAGACCTTTAAAGCATGTCCATTTCCAATTCCCAGCCATAACAAGAGACAATTTTACCTACACCTGTTTGCTTCATGCCCCACCCAGCCTGGCACTGAACGCTTCAAATCCTGCAAAAAACATCTGAAGAATTTTGTCAAGATGTAGGGATCAGATGTGTACCAGAGGGCACAGTTCTGAGTTTCCAGAGCAGTACTGAGCACATCCTCTCCACTGGTGCCTGAGCCACGCGACGCTGCAGGGGCACAGCTGCTTCTAGAACTGCAGGGGCTGAGCACCTGTGTTTGGCTGGACACCTCAATAACACAAATGGTTTTTGACTTGTGGTGTATATTGCACAACTGACACCTGTTCATGGACTTTTCTTGGAGCCTGGATCCATGTGTGCACCTGGCTGCGAAAATAACCTGCCAGGCTGATTTGGCATCTGTGAGCCTGCTGCTTCAACACGTTAGCATGGGAGCAAAGCTGTCAGCTTCACCCCTGAGCTTCAGATGGGACCAAACCAGCCTCCTGTGCACCATCTTCATCTGCAAGTGTTTGGGACTGAATTACTCAAGGCACTTGGAGCAGCAAATCGGGATTTCCAGTATAATATATTGTGTTAAAAATATCCTGCTCTACTGCAATAAATGCATGCAACAATTGCTACTGCTGTTTGTGCCTGCCTTTAATTATTTGGGAGGTTGAGTAGGAGTGATAGTGGTGGTGCTGGCAGGGCAAAGGGCTCAGTGCTGAGTGTGCCCATGTCCGTGCCCATGCCCACACTGGAGGGCTGCTAGCAACACAGCCCTCAAACTGTTCTGAAATGAGAGGATTAAGCATACTTTTCTGTGCTGAAACATATTCACAAAGCACCACAGTCTCTTCTTAATCTGAGGAAGGCAGAATGAAATTCTGGCTGGTTTACCATTCTGTTACATTAACTGAAGGAGCTTTGTCAGGCTGCTCATGCCCAGTGTACTGGGGACACACTGGGCACCTGCAGGCAAAGCTCTCCTGATCTGCCCTCACACAGAGCAGCAGGAACTACGTGGCAGTGGTGTGATCGAATTAAAACAATCTGCTTAAAAACATGTTGGAGAGAAAGAGGCTGGCCCCATAATCTTTATTTGAGCTGAGCTACACCTTATTTTCACAAGTAAAACCTTGGAGGGTGATGAAAAGGGACAGTGCTGTGACAGGAGGATGTGCAGAGCCCTCCATGCCACTTTTTTGGTAACATGGAGGTTCCAGCCTGTGTCTTTGCTGCTTAATAAACACTCTGTTTTTGTGTCCAAAAGATAGGAAATGCAAGTGGTCAGCTGACCATTGTGTAAAAGGAGTGTAAAAAGGCAAATGTTGATGGTGCTGAGGTGCCTGCTGTTGGTGGATGAAATGCTGCAGGGGCAGTGCCCAGCTCTGTAACACAACACAGGGACTTTGCTGGCTCCCTAATGGGTTTAGAGCTGTCTTCAAGACATCTCTGCTGCTGATACTATTCATTCGTTCATACTTCCCTTGATTGTAGGCTCAAAGGGTCTTCTTGTAGCCTAATCTTTATCTGCACTGCTCCCTGCATTTCTCATGTTATCCAGAGTACAGACAAAATAGGAGTATAACAGCCTTTGAAACAGTGTTTCTTGGTGTTCCAGATCATTCTTAGTCAAAATTTAGATGAAATAAATCCTCCCAAGAGAGGCTGGAACAGCCAGCCAAATCTGATGGCTGTGCTCATTGAGTGGCTCCATCTGAGCACCATCAGAAATTTGCACTTGGGCTATTTCTGCTGGAACCTGTTTTCCAGAGTCTCCAAGAGAAATATTTCTGTTTGCAGTATCATTTTATTAAGTTTTGAGTACTGCAGGTTTTTTGGTGCATATTAGAGCACAGAAATGATGGTGTAAATGACATGTTTTAAAATTGAAGAAGAAAACATAATATTTTAACCTTTTATTGTTTTGGTTTTTTTTGTTAAGTTTCTGAAAGTTACCTTCTGGTTTATCTTTTAAAATCCCTCTCTGTTTCCTTTCAGGAAATCCCAAAGGTGCTATGCTGACCCATGGAAACGTGGTGGCGGATTTTTCAGGCTTTTTGAAAGTGACAGAGGTGATTACCCTGAGCTAGAAAATATTGCCATATGCAGAGTGTGTGGGTTAAGCTGTGGCCCTGCATGGGCTGGAAGTATGCACTTGCAGATAAAAATGACATTTTTCCTGCTCAGAGGGCCAAATCCATGGGAATGGAGCAAGGCTGAATCTACAGTACTGGAGGGCAGTAAATCCTCTTTCCAGCCCTGCCTCCCAGCCTCTGTAGGGCACTAAAGGCTTCTGAGAAACAATGCTGACTTCTGCAAATCAGTTCATTAACTCTTTTTGAAGAATTAGGGGAGCACACAAGCCCTGTACAGTTGCAACTGGTGCTTGAAGAGGAGTTCAAGCTCCTCTTGTGCTTTTTGTGTCCCATTGTGCCCAAAAATGTCACCATTTATTTGAAACCTCTCTGCATACAACGTGTGTATGTATAAATATATAAATATAAGAACATCCATTATTTATTACCAGAATGGTTAATGGTTAATGCGAGGTTAATTTAACTGATATTCCAGAATATCTCAGGTTTTGTTATATATATTTCTAATAGAGCATAACAGAGTGCTGGTCAAGTACCTTTATAATACATACAACATGTAAACTCATGTTTAGAAACAATATAGGAAGCAAAGTCAGTTGACCATGACATAGTAATGATTTTATGCATCTTATATAAAACAAATATAAATAATCTATTTTCTTCTAGTGAGCAGGCAATTCTATAAAGTAGTTACATGCACATAGGATGGACATTTGGTTACCTCATATCCCTTACTGGTCTTATTGTTGATGTTGAAATTACTGCAGTTTTATTACATTAATACTGGAATTTTTTGAGATTTCCGGACCTCTGGTGTAAAGAAATTGTCATGTGATGTAAGAAATCCCACTGAACCCACATGTTCCAATGTTTGCAGGACTGAGCCTCCAAAGTGTGCAGGACAAAATGCCAGCGGGGGCTCCTCAGCATGGAGCTCTCCGTGGCTTCAGTGGCAGCAAGAGGCACAAAGGAAAGCTGAGGCGTGGAGAGGCCTGAGCTTCTAAGGGCAGGAATTTATTTTGGAAGAGCTCTAATTTAGAGCTGAGGGAACTTGGCATCTTCCAGAAATGGTCCATAAAAATGGATCTAGTGTTTGCTGATGGAGTGGGACTCTGATCAATCTCAAAGATATCAGATTGAGACCCAAGTCTAGTGTGATTGTAAATTTGCTATCTCCAGTCACCAGAGTATTGCTGGCAGGGGGTAAATGCCTGTAGCTGATCCACAAGATTTGGGTAATGTCTGATGCAGTAATGAAATAGAGTAAAGTGTGAAACACTTGAAAGTAGTATAAATTAAAGAAATAAAATGAGAAGTTCTGTGGGTTTGTTGTTTACAAGTTCTTGTGGCAGTTTTGCTTAGTTCAGTGATTTTTACAAACCGAACATATTTTAAGTGAGTCCAGAGCTTTATTATAAGGTTGTTCTCAAATACCAAGAAGCTGTTTATATTTTTACATTTAACTGGACAAATATGCCAACTGTGAAATGCTATTCAATGGCATAATTTTGGTCTGATTTAAAACCAGATTATTTTGTCTGGACTCTTATAGCAGTATTAAAAAAACCCTGGTTGATATTGAAGGTTTTGCATTACTGTGCTTGCAGAAAATGAAGCCAAATTGAAATTACGTATAAATAGATCTGCAAGCTCTAATGGCTTCATTCAGGCTGACAGACACAATAATATGAAATGGGATGCTGAGAACACCATATAGTTAATGATATTTGACTTTGGTAGGTGATGGTCTAGAGGCCATACCCAAATCTGACCAGCATAGATTTAACTTCAAGAAAATATCCCCTGAGGGATGAACTCCTGTGTCTGCCTCCACTGTATCCCAGGTCATGGGCTATTGATTCCTTCTGAGCAGTGAAGGTGCAAGAGGGTATAAACTGTTAATACTGTGAGCTGATAGATTTTTATACCTATTTTCCACTAACCACCGGCCTTGATGCAAATTATTGGGTAGTCAACCATTCAGTTTTTCTAATCCATAATATTACAGCTAGCTGTACCCTAGGAAATGAAGGTATAAAGGTTATTTTCTTTGAGAATGGGTTAGGTAAGGCTCTTGGGGCCTTTGTTTATTCCAGCCTTCAAGAGAGTTAAAAACTTGGCAAAATCAAGACTTTGCCACTTTTCTTCCCCTCTTCCCTTCTTTCCCCTGTCTGTGGGACAGTCATAATGCCCTTAAAATCACATTTTAATCACTTAAAATGATGAGAAACACTAACAGAAGTAATTAGTTCTTGAAGCCTAAGATTAAATCATTAGTTTTCCAACACTTTGATTCAAATCAATGATTAACCGAAGGAAAAGGGAAAAAATGGCTAATATTGACTCTAGTAACACTGTGTTTCTTGACTGGGCTGTATGCAATGTGGGAAAGTGCTGCTCCTGCAGAGCCCTGCTGGTGTCCAGGGGGCTCCTGCAGGTTAGCACTGGGATCCTGGGGGCTCCCACAGGTTTGGCCCAGGATCCTGCTGTCTGCACACAGCTGAGAGCACAGAACAGGGTCT